TATATTTAAGTAGCATTAGAGGAAAGTAGCGTTTTTAGTGTATTGTAACAGCAAAGGAATGTTAAGAGATGGTGCCATCTAGTGGCCACGTGAAGGGTTGTGATGACTTTATCTTCAGCGCCTCTGCAAACTGCAGATCCAGTGTACGAAATTAAAGCATTTCAGTGACTGTAATATCCGTTGCACAGCAGCACCACTGTCTCAATATCTGTGTAAGAAAGAGCCCCCAGATACATTTCCACTCGAGGGACAAAACCCACAGGTGTTACAACCAGATTTTCAAAGGTTTGGAGGGGCCTAAAGATACAAATCGGCAACCAGTGGGATTTTCAAATGCACCGAGGCACCTAGCACCTATTAACATTGAATATTTTTTAAAAATCAGCCTTACCAGAGGGCCAGGTAATCCTTTACTCCCAGGGAATCCTTTAGGGCCCGGCTCACCCTGCCAACAAGGAAAGGACAGACACTGTGAGTGAGTCATAAAAGGGATGAGGTGAAAAAAAGAGGCTTGTCCTGCTCACTGAAAGTGCACATTGAGATGGACATTCTACAGTCACCCAGTGCACCCTCATCTCCTCAGTCAGATGATTTCATAAGATGGAGGCCCATAGCTGGAAGGAAAACTCCAAGCCCAGCGGCCAATGCTGCAAAGTGCTCAGCACCCTCATTTATCATGGAAGTTGATAGCAGTTGAGTGTGCACAGCACCTCCTGGGAGGTGATCAGCTTGGGCAGGATCAAGCCTTACAAACATACATCTTCACAATTATGCTTACCGTCACACAACCAACAGTGAGGCAGAGAAATCCAACAGCAAGGCCTGGGTCTGAGCTCACCCCAGCGAACTCACACCGACTACAGGGAGTTCCTCCTGACATATAGTTAGAAGTGAGATCAGAATGAGGCCCCAAATGAGACTATCTAGGGCCCAAAAACTGCAGCCCTCACTCAGTCCTTGGAAGTTAAGCTGGAATAAGGACTGCAGGATTTATCCCAGCTCCTTATTATATTTGTAGAAATACTGATGCGCTAAATATATATCTCAATAATTGTCTGGGATAGTACAATCAAGCACATGAATCTGATTATTTTTGACCAACGTGCAGCATAACAACAACAAAAGAGCTACAGCTTCACTCTTCCTTATTTATTTTTCTAAGAGGATTAGGTTTTCTGCTTGGGTTAATGCGGTTTCACAGTTCACAGATCCAGCAGAAATGAGCTATAGCTCTTAATTTTGTGCATTCATTTTTTAAGATTTAGAACTTAGGTAGGCTTAAGATTCCTCTTTCTGGGAGGCTTGGATTCTCTCATCCACCGTAATGAACTGAACCAAGTGTCAGGAGATTTCAGTTCAAAAAGATTTAAGTCAGTTTAAAAAGTAGTGCAGAAAAGTACTGATCAGTCCTTCTTCACCTGCAAAACTAGATCCTAGCTCAGTTAATCATTCATAGAGCTGCAGAAACATATAGCACAGCTAGCTTGGACTGTGTAACAGGTGGCTTTAAACAACAACAAAAACTGAGATATAATCACCAAATTTCACTTTTACGCCAGGCAAACAACCCATGTTTTACAATCCAAAACAATCACAGGAGGGCAAGACAAGTTGCTAATCTTTGCCTTTCCCAAGGGAACAGAAGTTGAATAGTATATTTCCCACAACATGTGTCTCAACTCTGAGCAAACGTAGCCAATTACTGACAAAAATGCTACAAATATTGCCAAAGCTGGGTCTGCACCCTTGTCCACTGAAGTCACTGGAAGTATCTCCATTCACTTTAATGAGCATCAGATCAGGCCCAGTGTTTGGAAAATGGGCTGCTGCTTGTTTTGATGCAGAGGTATTCCTTTACACAGAGAATTATTTCTGTTTGAAGAATCTTTCTTCAGGAGTCCCCAAGGCTTGCTGAGGTCGGAGATGGCTGAAGTAAGAGAGAAAGCCCATGTGTGTGGGCAAGAAGAGGGAAATGTTCCCCCCTCACTGCCATATTTTGACCCTCTAAGTGAACCTGCAGGGACAAATTCATTTCTTATCCTCTCACAAACCAAGTCACAAGGTTCAGTCTGCAAACACCTTCGGGAACCAATCCATGCGGGATTTGAATAGCCCCAGGATTGTCTAGCTGCTTCACTCAGCCTTAGCATCAAGGAAAGGAAAAATTCAGCATTGTTTCCAGTAGAGTTGTGTTTACAAACCTTTACTCCTGGTTTCCCTTTTGGAAATCCCATGAACTCTAGTATCCCAGTGGATGGTGGAGGACCTGCAGGGCCAGTTGGCCCGACATCTCCCTGTTGACAATTGGGGAAGATATTAATGTAAGCAGAACATCTTAGACCTAAGGTGAGTGGCCCATGATTCACTGAAAGCCACTCAACTCAGGCCTCGCATGCACAATATAAGGTACTAAGGCTGATGTGGGAGCTTAGCCATGAAAGCCAAAAGGTCAGACTGCCAATTAACAAGAACAAATGCATTGTATTAAAGTAATGTGAAGTAAAAAAGCATGTAAGAAAAAGAAAGGTCAGTTATCGAACAAACAGAAAAATACACAAGAAAAGCCCTGAAGCCGGATACAGAAGAGATGAAAATGAAAGACAGAAAGGCAAGGCAACTAGAAAGACTGGGATGTAACAAACACAAAACCTCATGAAGCAGATGATGTGAGGAGAAGTGAAGGAAAAAGCCCAATCACGTAATCACTCCCCACGCTTCCCAACAACTGGGCAGAGTGGGATTTTCAAGAGCACTTAGTGTTGGCCTGACTCTGGTCCCATTGAGGTAAATAGGGATTTTACCACTGGCCACAATGGGAGCAGAGTCAGGCCAATGCTGGGCACTTTTGAAAAATCTCTCCCTGCGAGGCTCTAGTGGGTCTAGTTCTGCACTTGTGTGCATGCCAGGTAAATCCCACCAAGGACAATGGGCCTGTACAGAGTTTATGTCAGTCCAGAATATGACCCATTATATTCACCAAGCTAAATGGGCTTAAATTAACAGGAGAGCTAAGAAATGGAATGGAACGAAGGATAAGGATCTGACAGGTGCTGAGGGCCATCATCTCTCAGTGGAGTCCTTCCTGGCAGGAGATGCCCAGCATCATGCGGGATCAGGGCATTGAAGAATTTTCTCTCATTCTGCTCTCTAGCCACCACTGCCTTTCCAGCTGTAGGAATGCTTCCCAAACGCTAGCTCCACTCCCTTTGCAATCTTAGCTCTCCTCCTATTCGGACTCCATTTTGTCTTCTAAGTATATCTGGGTTGAATTCTTGACCATGGTAGTAACTGTCCTAGAAGAAATCCTTCTTGGGAGGTCACCTCCTGTTTGTTTATCCCCTTTGTGAGAACTACCAACACAGGGCCAAATAACACATAGTGAACTTCTCAATGCCAGAGCTGAGGACTCATGTCTGAAGGGGAGATTTCTAGTGGGCACATGTAGGATATGGATAACTATTTTTGTAGTTCTCTACAGAAGTGAATCAGTTCCACTTACCTTTTCACCTTTCTCTCCTTGGAAACCTAATCCCATGTTACCCTGAGGAAAAAACCGTAAGAATTAATGAATAAAGAAAGAAGAAGAAGAAGATGACGACGACGACAATTAGGGTGACAATTCAGCAAAACACTCAAGCATATGACTTCAGTGGGACTTAATCACACGCATAAGTTCTTTGCTAAATCCTGGCCTGGGTTAGCATCTTTCATCCAAGGGTATAAAATATTTACATTTAAGTGGATGAAAAAAGAAACAATGATAAAAAATAATAAACTCCCACAAAAAACCTGGAGTTTCTCTCTTTAGGACTCAGGTATGAAAAGAAGACATGAAGGGAAGGTACTCACTTTTGGTCCTGGTGGCCCCATTGCACCCTGTGGCCCCTAAACATGAACAAGATAAAGATTTTATTTATTTTAACTTAAACTTGGATGCAAACTATGTAAAAAAGTCTGGGTGTTTAACATAATTTTGGGGTGCTGCTCAGTTGAGGATGACCCAAGACCCATTGACATCAGTGGGCTTTGACCTTCAATGGTTTTAGTGGCCAGGAAAGCACATTGTCATTGTGATAAATTTAAATGAACAATTTGAAGAAAACTACAGCTCCAAAAAGGGGTGCTGGAACAATTTGTATAGAGCCATTGAACCAAACTATAAACCCTGTATATGATGGAAACCACTTCAAGCCAGGGGGTGCAGTAGCAACACCAGCACCCCTAGTTACAGCATCTATGGCCCCAAATTGTACTCATTTCACAAAAATGACACAGGTGTTGTGCAGTTTATTGCATTTTTACACGAGCCAAACTGAAACCGTCTCCTGAATGCATCCCTCTCAAAGGTGATTTTTCAGGATATTGCATGGGGATTTAGGCCTGAACATGCAAACGCTTAAAGTTTTGCTATCATGAGTAGGAACTACTCACATTAGTAAATTCAAGCATGCATGTGTTTGCAGGATTGGGCCTTATTGACCAATACTCCATACAAAGAGCAGAAGTTTTACTCTAGTGCCTGCAATATACTCTGAATTCAAAAATATTCTGTATTTAAAAGTGATGCTGCTGCATTTGCAATCCCTTCTTGTATAAACATGGTCAGTTTTGCTCTACAGTGGATCCAACTTCCTCTCCTCCCATTTTGAGTGTTGTGTCATGCTGTCTTGTCCAGTTTGTACTTACAAGACCAACTACATATGTTGTTCCCAATATTAGGTTCCATGCAGTGAGTCTGCACTGGAATGGGTTCACCAAGGTGGATGAAGAGGGTGAGTGGAACTTTCCTATTATTGCAAATTTGAAATCGTTCCTGTTTTTATTACATTTTCAGAGGCAATGATTTTCACTTAGGTTTAACAGCCATACAGGTTTTTATAGCTAAATCACCATTTTTACAAAGGTAATCAAAACAAACAATTTCAGGGACATGAAAATGGGCAATGGTGGAAAAATGCCTGTGTATAGCACTACTTTATTAACAACACTGAATACAAAGGTTAAGGTTTCCTTACCTGCAAACCTGGCAATCCTATAGGACCCACAGAACCTGCTGGGCCAGGGAAACCTTTTGGACCCTATCAGAAAAAGTTTTAGGAAATGTATTAAGGAACTCAACTCTTCAGGTCCCACCCTCCCATTTAACTAGTTGTCACCATTCTTATCGGCCCTTCACTGATGCCTGATCCCAGTTAATTTAATACATGAGAAAATATTAAGACACAAGAAGACAGACCAGAATGCAACACTGGCTTCTGTTCATTAACAAAGCAAATACCCTCACCCCAAAAGCAAACATTAATTTTGTCCGTCACGTGAGATAGCAAGTACCTTCGATGAGATGCTGAGTACCTTTAAATTCACGTACTTCCCTGGGAGCTGAGGATGCTCAGCATTTCACAAGACTAGGCTCTTAAAAAGACACTGCTCTGCCATTTTGGAACTTTCCCTCCAAAAACTGTAGGAGGTGCATGGTGACAGATAAGGGAACCATTTCCATTAGTCTTATGTTTGATAAAAGTTTGCTTCTACAAAATATTAATTCAAGGCCAAATTTTACTTGGCAATGTCCCTTTCAATTCTTCAGTGATGGAATGGGAATTGCAAGGAAGAGCAGATTAAAAAGCCTACAGAATGAGTAGGACTTTCCTCATGAAATCCTGACAAGCTGATGGCAGGGTGTGTCTTAAAATCATACACAATATCCCTGGAAAAATGCATCTAATTTAAAACACATGACAATTCATTGACATTATCAGCATTTGTTTATCTGGAAAATCATTGTTACAGAGTTTAGCATTAGAAGGGTGTTTGGTTTTAAATGTAAAATTGACTGCAGGTATGGCCAAAATCCAATCTCCTTTGCTATGGTGCAAATCTGGAGTAATTTAATGAAAGCCAGTGGAATTACTCTGGATTTACACTTATGTTACTGAGATCAGAATTTGGACCACTGAGTAGAAATGTGCCTAAGCTGATTAATGCAAACAATTAATAGTGTGCGGGAATTGACCTAAAAAACTAAAGTATTATTTTCCTTTTCAGTAATACTCATAAAAACATGATTTCAAAAATAAATTAAATAGCTTACAGAAATCCCATCCAATCCAGGAAGACCGTTTTCACCCTAAAAATTAAAAATAAATTAATGAAAAATACATTATAACAACAAAATATAATTTATGGTCATTATATTTTGTATAAACAGAAATATTTAGGTAAGTAAATATTAGATCACATGTAATTAGAAAAATATTTATACTTAAATAATATGTATTTGGGTCAGACAGAGAAGGAAGTCCAGAAGCCATGAACCATGGCAACTACATTCATTTATGTTTGAGCAGCAAAGACAACACTGAGAAAAATCAAATTTGTACAATGACCAGTACAATATTGTATTTTCGTAAAAGTATTTTTTAAAAAGTGCTGCTTACTGCTAAATGTACCTTTCACTATTAACATTTCAGATGGTGATTTTCCATGAACATCTAAATTCATGAATAATTATCTATTTCATAAAAATTAATAAGTTAGCGTATATAATTGATAGAACTGGTCAGAAAAGCTTGAAAAGTTCAAAACTTTGACCAAAAAAGGAGAAAAAATTCTGTGACATTTTTCCCACTTTGACTAGTTCTAGTAACTTATTAGTAGCGAGTATCTATGTAGCACCAGAGTATGTACGTACACACACACACACACACACACACACACACTCTCTCTCTCTCACTTGATATATCGAGGGCTGGATGCAGAACGGTAATGAATGCCTTCAAATCACTATGGCTTTAATGCAACCCGTTCAGAACCCCACTGGAAGTATTAAGCCCTTTGTAGATTCAGGCATTCTTTGTGCAATCAAAATTCTATTTTTAATTAATATATGTATGTATGTATCAGAGCATGTGAGCACATGTACACACATCCTTGAATGTTAAGCTAAGCAGATTCTTTCATTCCATGGTTTAAATGTTAATTACATTGGCAATAAAATTATGGATATAAAATTCTACCTCAGATATAAAACATCTCAGTTCCTCATTAATCACATAGGGTGAAATCCTGACCTAACTAAAGTCAGTGGCAAAACTCCCACCGACTTCACTGGGGCCAGGACCGTGTCCATAATGTGTTTGAAGAATATAACAGTTTACCAGTTGGTACATCCCAGTGCAAAGAGCAATGGGGATAATGGGCAGTGCTTGGAATCCAACAGCAAGAGTAATGCTAACATACACTAGAGATTTTGCTGGTCACGCTCAGCAGTGATCCAGTGGCTTTACCTGACTAATGGAGACAGGGTGAAATCCTGGCCCCACTGAGGTCAATAGGATTTTTTGCCACAGGATTTCACTCTGTAATTCTAAGGGCAAGGGCTACCATTGGCTTTTTATCACAACAGACCTAATGTGAGAGCGAAGTCGACCATGTACAGAGGGGTCGTGGCTGCTACAGAAGGTCTCTTCCATGTTATTCCTGCATCTAGAAGCTCCTGCCACTGCTGCACACAAGGCAGGACAAGCCTGCAGGAGGTCCCTCATTCTCAGTTTGAGGATGGTTGGTTTCTGCTGGTGCAGGAATTGGCATTAGAGGTGCCAGGCCCTTAGGCGTGCCCTACAACAATGGTCTGGTAACTATATGGGGACAACAGGACATGGTGAGCACGGTTCTGTGGGTGCACATTAGTCCTGCTGAGGGATAAACAATTTGCATCTGTGTTGCAAGGACTATGTACAGTAACTCCTCACTTAAAGTCGTCCCGGTTAACATTGTTTCATTGTTACACTGCTGATCAATTAGGGAACATGCTCGTTTAAAGTTGCGCAATGCTCCATTATAACGTCATTTGGCAGCCCCCTGCTTTGTCCACTGCTTGCAGAAAGAGCAGCCCTTTGCAGCTAGCTGGTGGGGGCTTGGAACCAGCGTGGACCGGCAGCCCCCCGATCAGCTCCCCGCTCCCCTAAGTTCCCTGTGCGCAGCCACTCAGCAGGCTATCAAGTGCCGGCAGTTCAGCTGTCCCTCCCCCCACTGCCATGTGCTGCTCCTGCCCTCTGCCTTGGAGCTGCTCCCCGGAACCGCCTGCTTGCTGTGCTGGGGGGGAGGAAAGAAGGGGGCTAATATCAGGGTGTCCCCCTCCCCCCTGCTCCTGCCACCCACTTATCCCATTTCCATAGAGCGGGGGGAGACATGACAGGGTTCAGGACGGAGGGAGCCTGCAGGCAGCAGCTGCTGTCTCAACTTGCTGATCTAAAAAGGCAATGTTCTTACAGTGGGGTCAGCATACTTAAAGGGGCAATGCGCAACTCTCTCTCTCTCTCACACACACTGGGTGTGTGTCTGTCTGCCATGCTGTCTCCCCTCCCTCCATTCGTGCTGCCTTGTAGAATATGAGGCTACATTAACAACCATGTGTTAACCCTTGAGAGCTCAGCCGAATGCTAGTTCATCATTTAGCAGTAAGGCATTCCCTGGGAAATATCCCTCCCTCTTCCACCCTCTGACTCCACCACCTCAACCAAGCTTCACAATCATCATTGCTGTGTACAGTATTAAATTGTTTGTTTAAAACTTATACTGTGTATACATATATATAATATAGTCTTTTGTCTGGTGAAAAAAATTTCCCTGGAACCTAACCCCCCCATTTACATTAATTCTTATGGGGAAATTGGATTAGCTTAACATCGTTTCGCTTAAAGTCACATTTTTCAGGAACATAACTACAATGTTAAGCGAGGAGTTACTGTACTTGTAGGTTTTCGGTGTAATAATGTTTGTGTTGTTAAAAATAAAGCTATGGCCTGCTTTCATAAGCCATAATTTGTACCTCTGCATCCAAGCATACCCATGACAAACTTGCCCAACACTGTGAGTGATTTAACCTGCAGTATATACCCTGTAACATTCAGAGCACATGTAGGTTTCTTCTGCTATGTCTTCTCCTGCATGTTGACAATTCTTACCTTACTTCCTTTAGGGCCACCTTCGGCATACACAGGATCTCCTTTGGGACCTTTGGGACCAAAGCGACCCTGTTTTTAAAAGAGTGAATTTACAAATCTATTTTTCTATAATCTCTATAAAAAATTTTTGAAAAAATGTTTTTCAGCAAAATACACTGTGGCAGATCCTCCTCTACGGAGCTATGCCCATTTATACCAGCTGAGGATCTACCCCTTTATATTTACCTTCTCACACCAAAGCATCTTCATGCTATAATTAAATCAAACTCTACAAAAATTTTATCTGGTATTCTCCCCATTTACTTTAGATTTTTCTCTTATTCTGAGCCTTCAGACAACTGAAACCTTGTCTACACTTATCGGGGGTTTGACACGCGGCAATCGATGCATTGGCGGTCAATTTAGTGGGTCTTGACCCGCTAAATTGACCGCTGATCGCTCTCCCATCGACTCCTGTACTCCACCTGAACGAGAAGCACAAGGGGAGTTGATGGGAGACAACATCGCATAGTGTGGACCCCGCGGTAAGTAGATCTAAGAAGGTCGACTTCAGCTACGTTATTCACCTAGCTGAAGTTGTGTAACTTAGATCGATCTCCCCCCATAGTGTAGACAAGGCCTGAGTCTAAGTATTTTTAACATATGCTTTGATAGTATGTAACTCTATTATTAACATCTCTGTTCATACACTCATCTGTTCTGTGATGGGTTGAACCAATCACCACTGAATTAAACTTAATTTTGACCCATTAATCATTATGGGACAAACTGATTCCTGGGGTAACTCCACTGAAGAAACTGCAGTTATATGCAGGATGAATTCATTTTATAGCTCTAGTTATGCCACCTGATCTTAATCTTAATCATCCTATTGGATTTATTTTAGGTAATTTCATGTTAACTGCCAATTTAATTTGAAGGAAGATAGCTGAGCAGAGCAGCAATTATGGCCAAAAATATAATCCTACAAGGATTATTAAAAAAAAGCCATCTGAACGGTATGTATGAGTAAATTGGCTTCTCTAGAAATCATTGCTTAAATCTGATCATATTGCTTAGGATTTTTCAGTGTCCTATGAACTTCAGATTTCAACACATGCATACATTTGTACCACATTTTTTATAAAGATTCAGTGTATTGACATTAATAGTGTCACTCGTATTTGCCAACTATATTTTCTTTCCCTTCGCCCCTTATTCACATGACTAAGCCTTATTCATGCAAAGTAGTTCCACTGATTTTAAGATTACTCATATGAGTAAAGTTTGTAAGATAATTTTTCCAGCCCATTCTGTGTCTACAATGTGAAAATAATTTCATATCTTTATGCTTTATTTAAAAGCTTAGGGTAAAATTTTAAAAAGTGCCTAAGTAATTTAAGAGTTTTAGTCCCATTTTCAAAAGTGATTCACACACTAAGGCGCCTCAATCCCATTGACTTTCAATGTGATTTAGATGCTTTTGAAAATTTTACCATTAGTCTTTTTTGCTGATGTTGTTGAACAAATATAGATTAATGCAGACTTGCGTAATGCACTAATGGATTCCCAACAGTACCATGGAAACGAGCAAGCCAAGACTATAGTACCTGTTAGGATGTCAAGTGGAATTATACTAGTCAAACAGTTAGCCCTGGTCTACCCTGGGGTGTGTGTGTGGGGGTCAATCTAAGGTACGCAACTTCAGCTACGTGAATTACACCTAGTAAATCAATCGTTCAGCTTGTTAAACTGCTGGTAATCTTTCCTAAGTATCCTAAGACTTCAATTTCCTGAGTTAGACCACAGTTCATGAAATCATCCATATGCAGGAAAGGTGCTTAAAGCGCATGCTTCACTTTAAGCACATGATTCAATTCAATTGACTCAATGGGACTGAAGTACACACTTAAATGCTTTTCTGAATTGGGGCCTTCTGGCTGATCCTGCAAGTGCCTCCAATTCCTACTATGGTTAGTCAATGGGACCTCAGAGCGTTCAGCACCTCACAGAATTAAACTCATAAAGGCTAGATCCTGTTCACCTTGAAGTCCATGTCAGGATTGTCAGGGATTGAAGGTTTATTCTAATGTGGCAACATACCCACCTTCAGGAACTTTATCTTCTATAGTTACTCTTTTAAAAATTCACCTAGAACAGTGGTTCCCAAACTTGGTTCGCAGCTTGTTCAGGGTAAGCCCCTGGCGGGCCACGAGACGCTTTGTTTACCTGGAGCATCCGCAGGAACGGCCGCTCGCAGCTCCCAGTGGCCGCAGTTCACCGTTCCTGGCCAATGGGAGCTGTGGGAAGCGGTGGGCCACTTTATGCAGCTCCCATTGGCCGGGAACGACGAACCGCTGCCACTGGGAGCCGCGAGCGGCCATACCTGCGGACGCTCAGGTAAACAAAGTGTCTCGCGGCCCACCAGGAGCTTACCTTGAACAAGCCGTAAACCAAGTTTGGGAACCACTGACCTAGAAACAACATGAGTTGATTTCAAATAACACTATCAACATTCCCCAGGGATTCATGAGTCGTTTGGTAAATAGTAAGAGCTCCAGAAAATACTGTGTTAGCCTGAGAACGTACAGGTGGCCCCTGTGTACCAGGAAACCCATCCAACCCTGAAACGCCAGGACTCCCAATAGAACCATTGCAGCCATCAAGGCCAGGAAAACCTCTGGGCCCTGGCTGGCCGGGGTGGCCCTGTATGAAAGAGAGAGAGAGAGAGAGAGAGAATGAATTACACACAGTATTTTAGCATTAAAAATATTGTCCCCCAAGTCCCATTGTCTACCACATTACAGTGCAACATGAAGACAGGCTGAACATCTAGGGTTCACCCTTGAGTTCTGCCGCGTGGCAGCTTCCCCCCACCTGCAAAGGAAGTCAAGCCTGCAGACATCTACATCGAGCAGATCACCGGCCACCGACAGTACCAGGAGGCGTGAGCCAGAGTGACATCATTCTCCCACTACGAGAAAGGGACCAAGTGACCTTCTCGGTTGGATCATATGAACTGGAACCATAAACTCCCTAAACATTAAATCTCACCAAATGAGGGTCAATCCATCCTCATCATCATATCCACTCATTATACTCCACACCCAAACACAATCACTCTATGAACTTCATACCCTCATATCTCAATGTCTGTACTTTGACCCATCAACCTTTTACCCTCAATCGGGGATATTGCAGATTATGTATTCCTCATGCCACCTGATCTTAAGCCAAACTTTGCACCCTCGATAATCTGTATGTTATTCCCTGATAACCAGAAACTTCTATGCTCAAACTCTGTTCACAATTTTTTTTTTAGCATCATCTTAATAAAATTTTAAGAGCTTAATCAGCCTGCACTCTCCACTTTGGAACCTGACTGCAAAGCCCTTAGCTTAATTTATTTGATTATTAATTAAAACCTGTCTCCCTGGGATGGTGTCACTAGAATCACAAACATCTTGTGTTTGTGGGGTCCTAGCAGGGTGGTATTCATTCTACATTACTCCAGCACAGTGCAAGCACTACAGCACATTTGGTAGGAAACAGCAGGCAATGGGCCCAGTGCACAGCGGTTTGTAAGTCCTAGTTGCCATCGGGGGCGTTGAACGTATAAAAGTTAGAGCAGGAATAGGCCCAGCAATGCTGCGCACTGACAATTCCAAACTCTTCTACGTTCAAATTATTTCACTGACCTGAAAGCCTTTAACTAATTGCCTTTAACAAAAGTCATTGTAATGGTCAGTTAATAGCCAGGGAAATGAGCCTGATTCTGATCTCACGCCAGTTTTACACGGCGGTAGCTCCATTAACTACAGTGGAGTGACATATGGGTTTGTGTGGACAATACAAGGGCAGGCAGAACCATCAATCAAAGAACATGCCAGGGTATTAAGTGTCTCCTTATTCCATCCTTCTTCCCACAGGAATGAGATTTGTGCCATTCAGAGGCAGCATTGTGTGACCGGAAGGGGAGCAGTACATATTTAACAGCTCTGTCTGCCTCCACGGCCCTAGCCCTGAACCATTTCACAAGCCATTTTCAATTCATCCTGAAGATTCATCTTTATGGTGCAACATTAGATACATTAATGACACATCCAAGGGAAGTGAAAAATAAGCTACAGAACCCTGCATTCTTCATGCTTGACCATTGGAGCCAAATTCACATAATTTTCAGTCTCATGCCTCACTTAGGGTGACCAGGTGTCTGGTTTTCTACCGGAACACCCGGTCGAAAAGGGACCCTGGCAGCTCCAGTCAGCACCACCGACCGGGCCGCTAAAGGTCCAGTCAGCGGTGCTGCGGCGCTAAGGCAGGCTAGTCCCTACCTGTCCTGGGGCACCACGCTATGCCCCGGGAGCAGCCAGCAGGTCCAGCTACTAGATGGGGGGGCCACGGGGCTCCGCGTGCTGCCCCCCCCACACCCCAACCCCCTGCCACAGCTCTGAGCCTCCCAAACCTGGAGCCCCTTATCCCCAGCCCCACCCCAGACCCCTGACCCCTCCTGCACCCCAACCCCCTGCCTCAACCCATAGCCCCCTCCCACACTCCATATCACTCAGCCCCACCCCCCAACCTGGAGCAACCTCCTGCACCCCAAACCCCTCACCCCCTTCTCTTCATGCGTCAGTATATTTATGCCTGCATCTGTAATTTTCACTCCATGCATCTGAAGAAGTGGGTTTTTTACCCAAGAAAGCTAATGCCCAAATAAATCTGTTAGTCTTTAAGGTGCCACCGGACTCCTCATTGTTTTTGTGGATACAGATTAACATGGCTACCCCTCTGATACTTGACACCATGCAAGGGAAATAAGAGTGTCCACACAGGGTTTTGCATTACTATACCTAAACCAGTTTAATTAAACCTTGCAAAAGTTTATGTATAGACAAGGCCCCAGACCACAGTTCATACAACAACATTATGCTCCCCGCAAAATAATCTTTTAAAAAATAAAACACTCTAATCACTGTTAATTTGCTTATCTCCAGCTTGGCTGTAAGATATCTTATGTCAATGTGCTGCTCTGTAATGAAATACAAACACTGGGTCATGACTGCTCTTATTTTCAAACCCAACACATGCTATTGATTCATACAGCAATTATCCCATGGGACACATTGCTTTTGTGGGGACAGGAAGGGTTTTGTAAGTTTTGTAAGCGGTCTTTTCATTTCTATCATAGCATCCTATTAACACCTTCTGTACTGGATGAGCCAGATTCTGATCTCATTCACTCCATCATAAACCTGGACTAGCTTCACTAACTTGAAGCAATGGGATAGTACAGACGTAATTCAGGGCAGAATCTGGCCCTACGTAGAAGGGATCAGGCACTGGTGTAGTACTGTTTTAATGCCTTCCTTCTCCCTATAGAAAAGGGACAGTGCATGCAACTAGCACAAGTAGAGTGAAGTAAACGGCAGGCAGTGACACAATACCAAGGTGTTGGCACTTGGAATTTAAATAGCAGCATTAGTCTCCATAATGTCCACGTCAGATAGTTAAAGCCTCTTCTGAAAAAGCATCACACATACACATTATACATTCCCTTCGGACTGTGAAAAGCCTAGGATTCCCTACCTTCTGGCTAATCTGTATTCTTAGTTAATTTATGACATCCTGTTCTAAGGGCCTGATCTTGAGAGATGCACCCACAACTCTCTAACTTCACTGAGCGGTGCAGGTACCCATCATCTCCAGATCTAGCCTTAAACGAGATCTTTTCCCCACTGATCAACAGAGCTCGTTTGGCCTGAAAAATTGTGACTAATTGTTTTCACTGCTCTCTCCTTCTCTAATTCCGGCTATCACATGCTTTGCCAGATCTGCCAGCTCAGCACAAAGGGAACAGGTACCTCAACAGACTAAGTCAGGAGAACTTTAATCTGTAATTATGGCATGGCAGGGTGGATGATTCGCAGGCTCATGCTAACACAGAGTGTGTGTGTGTGGGGCGGGTGTCATAAAGGGAACAGTTCCCTGGGAAAAGGGAACCGGTTCCTCCAAACCCACTAGAGCCCTGCTTTCTCTGTCTCTCTCTCCCCCCTAACACTGTGATTCTGAAGAGCGTGCTTTCTAAATCAGGTTTCAGAGTGGTAGCCGTGTTAGTCTGTATCAGCAAAAACAACGAGGAGTCCTTGTGGGACCGTTACTTTCTAAATCAGACAGACTTAGTGCAAAGGCGATCTCAACAGGAGAGCTCAACAAATGTTTAAAAGAAGAGGGAAACAGATGCACTCAAGAGTGAATGCAAAACTAATTTAATAAGCAGCTTCATTTATCATTAGAGAGCAAAGGGACCATTTCTGACCAGTGCCAAGATCAAAATATAGTCTCTTGCTGCCCAGGTCTGTGTTTCCTGGCACAGACAATGACTCACGTCTTGTAGAAACATTTCCTTTTAGAGTACTGTATACTCAGCTAAAACCATATAAATCTTCTATCTCTATTTCCAAACCGTTGCCAGGGATGTGTTTGAATCTAATCCCCATGGGAAAAATTAAACATATACAGTAGAGAGGAGGACTTAAGAGCCTTTTCTACAATCTGTCTAAGGCTAACAATTAATAAACACATGCGGCTGCTGTATGTACTAGATCAAAGGCATGCATCAGCCCAACTGCAACACCATGATTTACCTGCTATCAACATTTCACAGGCGACCTCAGCTAGCCACCACAGGGTCACCATTAGGAGTCCCCTTTGGGCAAACCCCTGGAGTACTGATAAAACACACACCCTCCTGCCCACACACCATAATCAGAAGCGTGGTTATGGTGTTAACTCTTGTGCACAGAGCAATGTATTTTTTACACACACACACACACACACACACACACACACACACACACACACACACACCCCCTAGATAATGAATGTAGATATGTATTTCACAGCAAGTTTAAGCTTTTCCCTATCCTGAAATGTGATTACAATAATACTGGAGAACTATACATATTTTCCCAAGCAGCAGGATTCTCTATTTTCACCATGAAAAGGAGCCATTTATCTCAGCAGCAAGAATGAAAACGAAATGCACTGCTTTTAAAGTTTCCACTGCCCCTTCTCTGCAGCTGTAAGGGAAAGATGGCTCCAATCCAGTCTGAAGTTCAGAGGAAGAAGGGCCATACTCTTGAATCTGTGTTCACAATGAGCAAAATCAGCCTCCTCCCACTCACCCACCTGCAGGATGCTGTAAAGAAAACAGATCAGATCCAGACAGGCATGAGGTTTCAAATCCCCTTTGTCTAACTCCCCTAGCCTTTGCTTGGAATGTCTGTAGCTGCCAGCTACCTGGCACTCTCCACAACAGTATCGCCCTCTCCCATGTTGGGAATTCCCACTCCCCAGAGCCTTATTTGAAAAAACACCCTGAGAACAGCTTGTTCCCACAGTGTGTTCAATTATATTCAATATTATGGGAACAGCTCAGTCTTGTTACATTTTGAAGATTGGCTGATGGAAAAAGAAAAGAAAAACAGTGGCAAGGGAGCAGAAGAGCACAGAAAGCAGGCAAAAGATGAGCAGGGGAAGGAGAAAAGAAAAAAATCGGTAAAGGCAGGGAGAGGAACTTGGGTGGGACAGCAGGGCGCAGAGCACAGCTAGCCCACATGGTCCCAACTGCACATTTCCAACAAACATTTTCAGAAACTGTCAGTTTTTTGAGTATTTAATCAATTCTAGAAAAGAGAATGAGGGAGAAAACACATGGTGGAGGAGAAGGAAGGACACAGAAGATGGAAAAAATCAACAAAGAACAGAAGAGAATTAGAATGCAGAAAGGGAAAAAATGCAGAGTGAACCAAATAATGTAGAGAGAGAAAAGACTAGAATGGGGTAGTCTGCATTAATTTAAAAAAAAAAAAAACACTACAAAGCCAGAACAAATAAGGAAGGGACCTGGAAGACATCTATGCAAGAAGAGCTGCAAGAAAACAGAGTGGAGCAGGTCAAAATATTCTGGATTTTGAATTTATGATGAAAATTCAGTTTGATAGAAAACAATTTTTTGACAAAAAAAATTCAAGTTCTCTGTCAAGTTCTAAAGAAAAAGAAACCAAATATAATGGATAAGCTGGGGAGAGTTTGTATTTGGTTCCATTATCTGGAAAAAGCTGTAGCTGCCTCTTTCCTGTTTTATTGGCAAAATGTTCTGGCCAGCCCAGATCCAAATTAGAACTAATTAGCCCCAGGTATGGGAAGCAAAGAATCTCTGTAGGCAGGGCCGGCTCTGGCTTTTTTGCCGCCCCAGGCAAAAAAGCCTCCCGCCACCCCCCCGCACCCCCGGAGCCGGCAGGGGAGGGTGCCGAGCCCGGCCGCGGGCCGCTCTCCCCGGCGGCCAGAGCGCCGGGAGGAGGGCGGCGAGCCCGGCCGGGGCTCCGCTCTCCCCGGCGGCCGGAGCCGGAGCACTGCGCCGCGCCGCCCCCCTCCAGGTGCCGCCCCAAGCACAAGCTTGGTGGGCTGGTGCCTGGAGCCGGCCCTGTCTGTAGGGACTCTCAACTCCAATTTAGCAGTTTCACTTGCAACAAGACTTTACTAGAAATAGTTCTGAACTAAAATGTCGGATGTGAATACCTTCGAACATTGGTGAAGCTGAATTATAGATGCAAACATGCCTCAGATTCAGTTCTCGTTCTTATACAACACGGATGTATCCCTTGCAAATGTCCATTTATCTGATACTCACCATCAAGGTATCTGAGTCCCTTACAGAATGACATGGAGTGCCTATGGAGTCTAATCAATCCTCCCCTTTTACCCCAGACAGAAGACAAAGTGGTAAAATAATTACATTAAAATTATTATAATAAATATTATAGAAAAGGTTTGGGATGAACCTGGCATTGTGTCCTTGCACATGCTGTCTCTGTGCTCAAATGCAATTGCCTTATATTTAAATATTTACACACAAAAACTCACCGGAATTCCATTGATGCCTTGAAATCCAGGAACTCCCATTGGACCCTAAAGGAAAGAGGGCACAAGTAATACTTTACTTGGACAAGCCTGTGCGTCAGTCACACCCATTTTATTCTTTATATAGTACCATATATCACCCAGGTAACTCTTTTACTCTACATCTTGGGAGGGTGGATGATCAAATATCCTCAGTGAAAGGAGTACAACGTCTCATACGAGGCACCCAGGCTCCTTCATTTTCATTGCAGTCAATGAGATGGGAACTGAGGATGCTCAGCAGACAGGCTGCCAAATTAATGCCCCCAAAATGTTTTCACTCAGTATATTAAAAGTGAAACAAATTGTTATTGCACCTCTGGGGCACAGTGTGATGCCAGGCTAATAATACATGGCTTTCGATACAGATTAAATCCTGGCCTCACAAATGTTTCAAGAAATATTACAATTGGATCTGCGATTTTGTCTGTACCAGCCTATACCATTATTCTCAGGTGTTGCCAGCTGAGAAATATGCAAAACATTACATTAATTTACATAACTCCTGCATCTGTTCCAACTGAATAACGTTGTCTTGTCTCTGCCAACTTGTTAGAGCTGCTGGATGTTGCATGTACCTCCATAGTCAAAGAAAAGGTCTATAATAGGAACAGCTATCCCGGAGCGGACACGTGGTTCAATAGTGGCCAATATTTGCTGCTTCAATTGAAGGTGCAAAGCAGGCAGCTCCAGGATAAGCGTCCCTCAGGGAAAGTTTCTTCCTAATCCTTGATAGTCAGAGGCTGGCTTCTGCCCTAAAGCAGGGGAGTTTCTCTCTTCCAGAACTCTTGATTATTGTTTTAGCCCTTATTGTTCAAATTCTGGATGTTCTTTTTATCCTTGTTTTGAATCCTGCCCACCTCAGACTCAGCAACACCTTGGAGCAATGAGTTCCACAGGACACTTGTGCACTGTGGGAAGGGGGGTGGAGTATATCCTCTGCTCAGTTTTGAAGGTTTTGCTTTTCAGTTTCACCGAATGTCCCCTTATTCTTGTCTTAGGAGAAAGGCTGAATAGCCGTGCCCTCTCTGCCTTCTCTACCCCAGTCATTATTCTGAATCCTTACTCGTTTCCTCTCTAAGGTAAACAGTCCCAATCTTTTCAATCTCTCTTAATATGAGGGTTTGGTCATGTCTTGTTTCATTCTCATCACCTGTCTCTGAACGCCCTCTGTTTCTGCTCTGTCCCTTTTGAGCTGGGGTGACAGAACTGCTCACTAGTGGCATGATAATATCTTCTGTATTATGTTCCATTCCATTCCTTATATAGCTTATAATTGTGTTTGCTATTTTGGCCATGGCTGCCCTTTCAGAAGATGTTTTCACTGAGTTCAATAATGCTCCAGTCTTTTTACGACGTTATTACAGTTAATTTAGAACATGGTAAGATGCAGAAGTAATTTATATATTATTCCCTCATTGTGCATTACTTTGCACCTTCCAACACAGAATTTCACCTCCCAACATGATGATCATTCACTTAACTTTGGTAGGGTCTGCCTGTCTGAAACAGGCAAGGCAGTTACATTTCCCTCTAGGGGTATCCCAGTAATGCCCCACCCTTCTTTCATCTCTTCTTGTGACTTATATCAGGGCAAAATACATTCTGATGGTTACGTAAAACAAAAGACTCCACATGCAATGTTGAAGCCCATTTTGCTGTGAATCAGCCAACAGAAGATGACAGGCTGGACTGTATATACTAGCCTGTATAATTCAGCGACCAAGATTGTCACCCTCAGACTAAACACAGTGGTTCCTCTGGAGATGTTTCTCAAATAGTATATCCACTTAACAGCAGTGAGATAGTCCAGCACTATTTTTATTCACTCATAAAGAGCTGCTGTGATCACATCTACTGCAGGGAAAAAGAGGAAAGCACTTACTGAACCTACCTTATCTCCTTTCAGTCCAGCTGATCCTGGAGAGCCCACTGCCCCTCTCTCACCTTTTGCCCCTGCCAAACCTTCTTGCCCAGTAAATCCTGGAGCACCTATAGGTCCTTGGTTCCCAATAGGTCCCGGTCGACCCTGAAAGGGTTACAGTAAGAGATAAGTCAAATTTTCCATGCTTCACAAATGCCCTGCATGTCTCAAATATAACAACACTGGCCAGAGGACTGTAGGCAGATCAGGAAAGATCTCTGAAGGTTCCCCTGTACATTATTGGTTATAATACTCACCAGAAGTATTTCAGACAATGTAGACTGAAGCGTAAAGAGTGAATTACACAAATAATGAGACACCCTACTTTTCCAGGAGGACTTCTGGCAATTCATCAGGTGGTAGGAACAATGGAGGAGGATGGCATTTGAAATCAGGATGACTACTTTTAGATGAGGTTAACCCCTCCAGTTCCAAGCTTTAAAGATAGGTACAAAACTTCTGTACTTGAAAAGGTATCAAACACAACAGAGGGACACCAGGAAATGCAATACAATGCTTAGTCTTGCATGGGTCACATGCAATCAGAAGACTTGCACTCAGAAAACACATTGATGTTAGACTATCACCATACTTGGCTCAAGATCGGTGGGGACTCCAATGTCCTCTCCTGTTGCTTGGTAGACAATACGTGGATTTTAGGTCATGCCCCCTAGACCTTATGCACCATCATTGTTCCTATCCTGACTAACTTTAGGAAGAGAAAGGCCATGAATGCCGTTTTCCAGGGAAGTGTTCACCTTCTGTAGGGTTTACATAAAAAGAAAACACAGAGCATAATGTTTGTCCTGCAAAAGCTTTAGGCAGCTGCAATATCATCATCTCCTGCAGGGGATATGCAGAATGCTGAACTCTGATCTGGCAGCTGACCAATCTGATAAATACTACTGGCCCAATTCTTTGTTCAAATACTCCAGTGTAAAGTAGGAGTCACTCCACTTAATTCAAGGGGACTAGGACCCCATCGTGCTAGGTGCTGTACCAGAACAAAAAGATGGTCCCTGCCCCCAAAGAGCTTACAATCTAAGCATAAGACAAGAGACAACAGCTAGATACAGACAGATACATGGGGGACACAAAGAAATAATGAGACAAAGTTAAGCATGTGCATAACTGCTTTGCTGGCCGGGGCCAAAATAGGCAGCACTTTGCATGTTGAAGCCCTATATGTATTTTTGTGCTGATAAAAGTTAAACCATTTTGAAAAAAAAGTTGCTTCCCACACTGAGGCTCATCTGCCCAAACTCTGGCTGAGATCACATCTACAAATTAGACTGGAAAAAAGGGTTCAGACCGTAATTGCTTATGCAGCCACAACAGCATATTTGAGTCATAGAGTTTATGGCCAGAAGGGACCACCAAATCATCAGTCTGACCTCCTGTTTGTCATAAACCACCAACAGCAGCCAGCGCCTGCATGTTAAATCCAACAGCTGAAAAGAAGACCAATGTATGACAGCCCACAGGAGACTAAACTATGATGTGCCACAGGCAGAGAACAGGAGGGACGGAGCTGCAAGGGGCACCAATGCTCAAGGCCCCTGCAATGGCAGGAAAATGATTAAGCCAGCTATATGCATGAGCCACTACAAAATAATATTATAAAAATAAAACATATTTGTCCATTTCCTCTTTCTCATGCAGATAATGTTATTTTGTAGTAGCCAACAAACTTTTCCACTTAATTCTCAAGAACATGCAGCATTTTTGAAAACTAATTTACAGTTCAAAAGAAAGTGTTACTCTGGTGGCAATTTGACGGTGTAAACAATACATGATATTTGTGATCTGTGTTCAGACACAATTTGTGCAACCAGAGCCCCACAATGGCTCCATTAGCAGGGGAAATAATGCAGTAACTAAACATTACCAAAAGATGGCAAACTTTTTTAAAACTGCAGAGACAAATACACAGTTTAACATCTTTTATTGTTCTGATATCACCACAGAAATCACAACAAAGGCTGAGTTATGCAGAGCAGTCTTGTATGAGTGTGTGTAAACTGAAGGGTGCTTAATTTGTAATTAATTAAGCAATTAGGTGCTGGGCTCAAGCAATTTTTTTACATTCATAACTGATGCAGCAAACAGGTGCCAGGGCTATGAACTGCCAAGCCCAGAGGTGCCAGGGCTCAATCCTGCCAAGCTCTGGCACAAATTAAGCACCAAATCTGAATCCACTTATCTGTAACTGCTTACGGAGCTTACTGCAGGTATTCTCATGTTACTTGCAGAAGACTGAAGATGTGTATCAACATTCTGTAGTATGTGTTACATTTCCCCAAATCTAAAGACTGTTTTTAAAAAGTGGAGTGTCTGTCATGCAATGACACAAAATATTCACAAAAATAAGGTTAAAGACAATCTCCTTTCATTAACTAGTATTGTCTCCCAGTTGGAACAATATTTAAAATAAAAGAAAACATGCTTTAGTTCTAGCTGCAATGAATATTAGTATATGAAATCAACAAGATAATTCACATGCTGGTCTGGTTATTTGAGGTAAACTTTAAAATCAAGTCAGGAACTCGCTAAGGTCTTGAGAATTTTGCAAAGCTGTATTTAAGAACAACATAGGCTGATCATATAGGCCAAGGTTCTTCTATATTGATAAGCATAGTCCATTCTCTTTGCAATTCTCTTTTTTTCAATCAAAAAGGGACACACACATTGATGCTAGTGCCTCACAAGTGTCAACAATAAATATGAACTTCCTGCAGGTGCTGTGCCTCTTCAAGTTCGTGCCCAGAAAATAAATCTACTGAAGGCAGGTAAAAGCACAACCAGTTGAGAGTAAAACATTCCCATTTAAACTGCTGGCATTAGAGGATAGTTGTTAAGAAAACACTTAGAATCACAGAATATCAGGGTTGGAAGGGACATCAAGTCCAACCCCCTGCTCAAAGCAGGACTAATCCTCAAACAGATTTTTGCCCCCAGATCCCTAAATGGCCCCCCTCAAGGATTGAACTCACAACCCTGGGTTTAGCAAGCTAATGCTCAAACCACTGAGCTAGCCCTCCCTTGTTAATATCACTCATACAAAGGTGATTATAGAAGATTGGAAGGCCAGTTCAACCTGGTGAGTGAACGGACATGGGAACTTCTTGCATAAAATTGGGAGTCCTGATAAAATAATCTTGGCAACTGTATACTCAAAAACAGAGATTCGTGTTACCATTTTGTAGTATCTATTCAGGCAATTCAGAGATAATCCAAAAGAGACAAATACAGTTTTAAACCCAATATCGTTTGCACTTTATACACGTGTAGACATTTAGGGCCATATTATCAGCTGGCAAACACAGCTAAATTAAATAGGGTTATTTCAGCAAAGAATTTGGTCTAAATTTATAAATATATAGTTTGACAAAAATTTTAAAAATTAAATCACTTCCTCTTTTACTTACCTTCTAGGACCTGTGTTCAGATTCTGTGTTTCCCTTGCAAGTGTTGTAACCATTACTAACTGCCTGGAACAAAGTAAGGAATGCAGCTCCCTACTGAGTACCATTCTCAGCAACTGTTGCTGGAGGCATAAGGAACCCTGACCCCAGGCCTTGGCAGGAAAAAGGTTTTGTGGTTTATTTAAAAAATATATTTGTTTGTCATTTTAACCTGTTGTTAATCTGGGATTTTAAAAATATTTTTCCATTAATTTTTTAAAGCTTTCCAGTTTCCTTTCCCATCCCAGATGGATCATCTCACCACATACCCCATGATCTTTCTTCATTACAGGGACAGATTTTTTTTACAGTTTTAGACCCTCACCCTTGTGTCACAATTGCTTCTTCTTGGTCTTTTGGCTGAGGTCAAGTGTACCAGCTGTTTAATATTTTCTACCTTTTCTGTGTGGGAACTGTAACATTTACAAGGGGGTAGACTGTGATCTGAAACGGCTTTGCAGTCTCTCTTCTGACCTCATTTTCAATCGGAGGCAAACATCAATGGCATGCTCTGAATTGAAGGCCAGATGATGATGTAAAGGCAACACAGCTGAAATATATGCTGAAAAACGGGCACATCACCTTTGTAATCAAGCGGTCATCTATTAACTCAGATACAGCAATGCTAAGTGAATCAAGGTTTCTTCAAACACTGCTGTGATGCCTTCGCTTGGTGTAACTCTTCACATCATTACATGAGTGTGGAATTCTACCCCTAAATGTGCAACTCTTGAACTGATATGAAATTACCGTTTAAACAAATATATTTTCCTAGCTATCCAATTTGATAAATGTGTCCAGTGGAGACAGCATGGACCCTTCTGCAAGTCTTGTCTTGTCTGGGTCACTTTGATGAGGGAATTAAATGTGTTCTCTGTGTTCTAATCCCAATGAGTAAAATATTTCTATTTACTTAGCATCTCACAAGGAAGATTTTAATAGCACTTGAAGATGGCTCTGGCATGTCACTAAACTCACAAAGACACAGCAAAGTGCCTCTAATCTCTCCAGTAATGTGATTATACTATGATAATCAGGCTCTCATGAATTCCCCTTGCTTCCTTTGAAGTCTGTGAGGATTGAAACAGTGTTTTCCATGCTGAAACATATGTCTTGTCTTCACTGCTAAAAAAGATGCATTTTTTTTACTGTGGGTTATCTTAATGCACATGAGCTATCATACAGTCAGCTCTTCACCCCACTCCCTGTTGAGTTGATCTCAGAGAGTTTACCTCAACCTCATGGTAAAACTAAGATGCCTTGTCTTCGCTGTGGTTTTACTTCAGCATAGTTCATGCGAATTAGTTACCCCGAGGTAAGAAACCCCACAGCTTTTTTAGCAGCGAAGACAAGGCCGAAGAGAAACTTTAAGCCACATTCAACAGCAACTTCAGCAGATCAATAGCGCCCTCTGTTTTTAATCATCATTATTGTTCAATATTTATATTACAGTAACCTCTAGGCGCCCCCGTCAGGATCAGGTCCCCATTGCGCACCTATGCCATGTGGTATTGTTTCTACTTCGTGATTGGATGACAATTTTTTTTTAATACATAGATTTTTAAATAATGGATACCAAACAACACCTGCCAAGTATGAATTTTTGGATGAATAAAGATTTGTGTTAAAACCTGTGAAACTTTTGTGACTTGTGAACATTTTCATGACTACCCTACAAACATGACTACAAACTAGCTGTTTGGATACTTCCAAATAGGTAAAAACGCAATCTTGTGAATGATAGTGAACCACAAAACACGCTTTCATTCACAAACATATTTGTGTATCTGGTTTTTATTACCTAACCACCTCTCGATTAGGATGGCTGTGTTCTTCTAGTGACGTCACTGTGGTAGGAACGAAGCAAATGGCATAACTTCATGACAGAACATTGCATTTCCCTTGACATTTCCTGGATTTTGTCCATTTGTGCCACAAACTCAACGTGATGCAGACACTGTTTTATATTTAATTATTGCAAATGGCTAAAAATGCAAAACAAGTGGCTCAAACTTTTCATCCAGCTGCTAATGTTTTTGCTCTGGTATCTGCCTGCAGTAACCAAGACTGAAAAGTGACTGAGAGTGATGGGGCCAGCATATTCCCTTTGAAGCACCACATCACGGTAGGAAACAACACAAAATTGTCTGAAAAGACATTTTGATCACAGTGCCTTTTGAAATGGAAATCGTTTTATCAAATGTGGGTCCTCCCCTTGGCTCACATTTCAATTCACCTGTCTCCTGGACTGTCACACTGAAAGGCCAGCATGATGGGTGATGATCATGCCTCAGTAAGGAATTTACTGCCATGCAAACAAAGAAGTCACAATTAAGGTATGTCTACACTACCCGCCGGATCGGCGGGCAGCAATTGATCCAGCAGGGGTCGATTTATTGCGTCTAGTCTAGACGCGATAAATCGCGATAAATCAATCCCTGAATGCTCTCCCGTCGACTCCTGTACTCCACTTCCACGAGAGGTGCAGGCGGAGCCGACGGTGGAGCGGCAGCAGACGACTCACCGTGGTGAAGAAACCATGGTAAGTCGATATAAGTACGCTGACTTCAGCTACGTAACTTAGATCGATTCTCCCCCTCCCCCCAGTGTAGACCAGGCCTTAGTCTATTGTCCCTGCCCCTTTTGACCACTTTAATATCCCACAGAAATTTCCACCCACTGGACTGGGGTGGCTCCACATAGCTCCGTGAATTCCAAATATACATTTCCCCAATGCTTTTGTTAGGTGGAAGGAGAAGACGTCAATTTGCTTACTGTTTTCTCTAATCAAGGTCCGGAGCAGGGTCATGCACCTGACAGTATGCTGGTATGAAACTGTTCCTTGATTTCGCTGGCACAAAATAATATAAGTGGTTGCTTATTTGGGGCCCAGGCCTGTAACCTTTACTCACTTTGAGCAGCAACTTATTCCAGGATTATGGATTCACCAGCAGGCAAGCAATGAGGAGGGACAAGGTCAACAGGACTCCATGAGAAGTAAAACAGAGCAAGTGCCAGAGTAAGTGCAGAAAATGAAAAGTGCTAGGTATGACTATTATTTTCAGAGTTTCAGGTTTCAGAGTAGCAGCCGTGTTAGTCTGTATCCGCAAAAAGAACAGGAGTACTTGTGGCACCTTAGAGACTAACAAATTCATTTGAGCATAAGCTTTCGTGGGCTACAGCTCACTTCATCGGATGCATAGAATGGAACATATAGTAAGGAGATATATATACACATACAGAGAACATGAAAAGGTGGGAGTTGCCCTACCAACTCTAAGATGCTAATTAATTAAGCATTTATCAGCAGGAGAAAAAAAACTTTTGTAGTGATAATCATAGAATATTTTTGTTCTTTGGTGTGTGGTTGCTGGTGAGTATTTGCTTCAGGTTGGAACCAGCAACCACACACCACAGAACACCACAGAACAAAAACACTAACCCAGGAACTTAACCTTGCAACAAAGCCCGATGCCAACTCTGTCCACATATCTATACAAGTGACATCATCATAGGACCAAATCACATCAGCCACGCCATCAGGGGCTCGTTCACCTGCACATCTACCAATGTGATATATGCCATCATGTGCCAGCAACGCCCCTCTGCCATGTACTTTGGCCACACCGGACAGCTCTACGCAAAAGAATAAATGGACACAAATCTGACATCAGGAATCATAACATTCAAAAACCAGTAGGAGAACACTTTAACCTGTCTGGTCACTCAGTAACAGACTTAAAGGTGGCAATCTTGCAACAGAAAAGCTTCAAAAACAGACTCCAACGAGAAACTGCTGAACTTGAATTAATATGCAAACTAGATACCATCAATTTAGGCTTGAATAGAAACTGGGAATGGCTGAGCCATTACACACATTGAATCTATTTCCCCATGTCAAGTATCCTCATACCTTCTTGTCCAACTGTCTGAAATGGGCCATCTTGATTATCACTACAAAAGTTTTTTTTTCTCCTGCTGATAATTGCTCATCTTAATTAATTAGCCTCTTAGAGTTGGTACTTAGAAGTCTAAACTCGTGCACAAAATGCTGCACTCACAATTGACCATAGGAGGAAAATTGGAGGCCATTTAAAAAATTTGGCCCTAAAAATAAATGTTATAATATACTGTATAAGCTAAACAGGATGAGGCCTGAAACTTTCCAGGATAATCCAAGGACTGCAGTGCAGGAAGTACTGGGTGCTGAATGGGCAATTTCATCATATGTCTGATCTTTAGAGGCGCCCTCAGCTCCTACTTTGGTCAATGGTAATGGAAGACATTTCTCACCTTACAGGATCCAGCTTCAAGCCACTGAACCAACGCTATACAGAGTGATCAGCTGTGCTACTGCCAATGCTGCCTTTCGATGGATGAGATGTAAACACAGAGCCCCTGTCTGCTTGTGGTCATTAATATGATTTGTTCTCACTGAGAGGCAGCACAGGTTTTATTCCCAGATCTCCTACAGACCTGCTGTGTGGCAATGGGCAAGTCATTTTCACTCCCAGCTCCTCTGCTTCCTCCTCTCCCTCCCCCCCCACTTTGTCTATACCGTAAGCTCTTTGGATCAATGACTTCTCTTACTACATGTACAGTGCCTAGCAGAACAGGTCTGTGATCTCAACTTGGGCCTCTAAGTATTACTGTCATCATTATACCAACAACCACCACCAATTAAAAACCCTTCCAAAAATTAGGGGTCAGACCTGCAATGTCCTGGTCAAATTCTGACTTGGGTAATTATATTCTCCCTACTGAAAATCCCTTTGTACTTTTAATGGGATAAATTAGTCTTCAATTCCTCCTCTAAAAACTCAGCAAAATACAGGTGCAAAAATGGCTTCCACATTCCTGCCACATAGTTCACTACATTCCTCCCCACAACTTCCATTAGATAAACACCTCCACTGATTTTAAAACAAGTAATAAAAGTTTTGTTATGGAACAAAAATTATGGCTAAGAGTCAAAAAATCCTGGACTGCTAAACCACCTCACCCTCTCAACACCAACCAGGAGGCTCATGTGCTTTTTTACTTGCACATCTCTATTTTTCTTTAGATAAGAGAATTTTTTTTCCATATTATAAAAAATTATTTAATTTCATGATTCACCTTATAAACCCTATGTTCATGTAAGGCGATACCTGGCATGTTGACATGGAATCTTTTAAAAGTGAGCCACAAGAGCGTTCCACCTTCTAAGGATCAAATATTTTGCACAATGATGGAAAATTGCAATCTTTATTTTTTAAATGATTTGTTGTCCCATGTAGCAAATGATGTTCTGACTCAGCTGGTGACTTAGGACTCTGATGATACTTTCTGATACAATTTCCATTACATCTGACTAAAGCTGTTGAAAAAAATTGAAAATAATGTTGTGAAAAATTTCACAACTATTTCCATTTTGCAGGATTTTTTTTTCTAAATCATGATTTTGTTTACCATAAACTGTGTATGCTTACTGAACCCTTGTTTTTGGAAAACAAAGCAACATTTTGATACGTTTTCTTTTAAAGTATTCAATCAAAATATGATAAACTTTGCAGAAAGTTTGATAAAAATAGGAACAATTTTTCATTGTTTCATTTTTGAAAAATTGAAAGTTTAAATAAAGTTAACAGGGTTTCACAAAGAAGCCGTATGATTAACTACATGAAGTAGTCAATGAACCTGCATTTCAAAGACATAAATAATGGGTGTATGAAAAATATGGGACAAAACTTATTTTAAAACAACAAAATATTATATGTGTATCACATTGACTGATCCTTTGCATGGTTATTGCTCAAAATCATACTTTTCACTTGATCAGCAGCTCTTTATGTTATATGGTTCACAGGAGATGAGATACTAAATAAATGACATCCCTAAAAATATAGGATGGGCTGTTACCCTGAGTCTTCTAGCATATCCACTCTTCTTTCTTTCTGTTTATTTAGACCAAGTGGTCATGACCACCCAGATAGCCTGACATCTCAATATCTTTCGGGTTATGTCACAGATAAAACATGGACTCCTTTCCTTCCCTATTATGCTCACACAAAGGTGTACAACGCATAGTAACTATGCAGCCAGCATTAGAAAATCACTCCCCTAAAATAGCTGTATTACTCAAGAAAATATTTTTAAAAGTTGATATATTTTATTTTTACATGCTTTCATCTTTCACTGAGGAAGAAAATTTTGCTATTGTAAAAGAAAGATGATGCATTTATCCCCCCCTCCCTTTTTTTAAAAAAAGCCCAGAGCTAGGTGCATATTTGTGTTTGCAATAGCACACTCAATTTGAGTACAGTTACTGTGATGGAACACGCAAATTGGCTATTGACACACATTAGTGACTATTCGGGCCTCAGAAATTGTGCATGCACAAGTCTAGCATGTGAACAATTGTGACAACTGCGTGTGAAAGCAATAGGTGTTATCAGTGGGTGAGAACTGAAAGTCTGGCCCTTATGTTAAATTCATTAATGTCCTAAAAGAAATAAAATTGAAATTCAGAGGGTGGACTAAATTATGAACTCTTACAGCCAGATCACAGTTGATAGGGTCTAACTGATTGAAATCCCATTTCTATTTTATTTTGGGAACTGAGCACTTTTCACAAAAGTGCATAGGGAAACCAAAGGTTTCTGAAATTTTACAGTCTCTTAATTCTTATTTTCTCTCCTCCTATTTTCAGTGCCTATTCATTACAGATAAAAAACAAAACTAGAAAACCACCCCTTACACAGCTCCCTAACCCATTTGCTTAGGACAGCAGCTGTCATAACATTTTTCTGCCCCGACCTGACAGAGGGCACTTATTGTCACCACGCGGTGTACAAGTCTTGGGCTGAATTTTTAGTACAAAAACATCAGTTATTTACAAAGAAAATTAAGAGGGGCTACTCCGGGGACTTGCTTATTTCCGATTTTCTGGAATGTTCTTGCAGATCAACAGAAAGGCAACCTAAGTAGCGTATACAAAGTAAAAAACAAACAAAACCACAGGCTTTTTTTAAAAATTACTCTTCCATCCGAGCCAAATCATGACAACACTCACACAAAGTGCACACAAGTACAGCGATCAGGTGAGAAGACTGCAATAGGAATTCTGCCACTGCTGCATAGGTTGACGTATGGGGCCTACCAAAAGACTGCTCTTTTATTTCTTAGCTCCAGGCTCATGACATGGGTCAGGGTTACAAAAGGGGTCAGTAGTATCTGCTGACCCCACTGGCTACTGTTGCAGGGTCTCTCTAGCTGGTATGATTCCAAACTGCTACTCCCCATGGTACCAACAATTCTCTGCTCTTTCACAGGCTAGCAAAGCCTAGATTTTAGTGTATCTGTTCTGCTATAGCTCTGGTGAGGGGTCATTTAAACTCCCCTCCATCGACTGCTCTTTGGAGACTGGATTTAAAAGCATAAGTAAAAAATGTTTGGTTCATGATTAATACATAGTGATGGATTCATTATACACAATTCTAAACTGCGAGAAAGAGGGAACATTTTCCATCCCTTTCCTTCATGTCTCATCATCTGTACTCCCACTAGTTCTTGAAGTCTTATTTACCCTCTAATTAGGTTTCTGTTTACTTTTAAATCTTCATGTGAAAAGACAGACCTGCCACAGAGTAACCTACCTATCACAGCTGATCAATTAAACTGGGCCTCATATTTTTATCATATTTTAATCATGTTATTTTTCTGACTCCTTGACAAATGCCGGAAGTTGAAGGGAACCATGAGTTTGTGTCTTTTGCTCTTTACATAACAAATGTAATATGAAGGAACCACACAGGCACAGTAGAGTCCAAATAACCGTGCTTACTAACTATTTACGGCAGGGACTCTACCTTTCCAGATTACTGTACCCCTTTCAGGAGTCTGGTTTATCTTGCGTACCCTGTGTCACCTCACTTAAAAACTACCTGCTTACAAAATCAGACCTAAAAATACAAAAATGTCACAGCACACCATCACTGAAAAATTGCTGACTTTCTCATTTTGTCTGTATGAAATTTTAGTTTGTACTGACTTCGCTAGTGCTTTTATGTAGCCTGTTGTATAAATGGGCACATATCTAGATGAGTTGATGTACCCCCGGAAGACCTTTGCGTATCCCCAGGGATACGTGTACCCCTGGTTGAGAACCTCTGATTTATGGCATACAAGACACAGCTACATATACACATTGCTCTTCTGTCAGGTTCTGTAAGAACAGAACACAAAGAGCACCACTAGAGGGCGCATGTTCTATTTAAAGGGATACCACCCAATTCCTGTACACTATAATGAGAATACAAAGATATTTATCAAAGTTTCAAGGCACATATATTGTACATGTTCCTTTTATTCTATTATTTGAAGGATGAGAAAAAGCTGGTCTTGTGGCTGAAGCCCTATATTTTAAGTGCAATTTGCAGCATGCAGTGAGGGGAAATATCCATGAACTGGAAGCAACAGTTGGAACTCAGGATTATTCAGCCCATGGAGAACAAACCCAAAAATCCCACAGCATTCCTAGAAACCTATTTAAAATGAACAAGAGTGGCAGTGAACTTCTTTCTGCCTCCTCCTCTGGCTGGCATTTTCAGGCTCCCTTCTTCATGGACAGAAGATTCATTGTTGCTAAACGATTTTGGTAAAAAAATTAGTTGTATTAAATAGTGCACTGAACAAGTGAAATCTTGCCAATAACCATGTTGTTAAGACTCCTATTAAAGGAGCATTGTGTCTAGTAAGGCAGATAGGGTTCAGCCAGACATGGAAGTCAGAACCAGATCCAAACTTCCCCGGGGTTTGCTGTGTTCAGATCGGGGGATTTGGTTTGGGCTTGGCTCTAGTTTAGGGTGACCAGATGTCCCATTTTTAAAGGGATAGTCCCGGTTTTTGGGACTTATTCTTATATAGGTGCCTATTACCCCCCACCCCCTGTCCCATTTTTCA